GGGTTCTGAACCGAGTTCAGGAGGAGGGATTGACAGCTCTCCTGGTGGCTCGCGAGCGCGTGAACGCACCATGGTTCCCGGTTCTACGACATCAGTTATCGGGGCGCCCGTGGAAACTGCCATGGAGGGAGGACGCTCTCCTCCAGGCGGGAGGAGCGATCAGGAGTTACCCAGAAATAGGTCAGCACCTTTGGGTCTGGACGCTGAGCGGATCCGCTTAAAGAGGATGGGTCTCCCGCAAGATGTAGTGCGCACAATCCAGGATTCATGTGCTGCATCCACCATAGCGCTGTACACATCAAAGTGGACAGTTTTTCAGCGCTGGTGTACAGAGAAAGGTGTAGAGGCCACTTCATGTACACTAGGTGGCGTGCTGTCCTTTCGGCAGCAACTGATGGACAGAAATTTGGCATTCAGCACGATTAAAATGTACGCTGCAGCCATCTCTTCCTGTCACGAAGGTTTTCGGAGACAGAACAGTTTTTAATCATCCGCTGATCAAGCGTTTTTTAAAAGGTGTACATAAATGCTGTTTTCACGCCCACTCGCTTCACAGTGGGATTTAACATTGGTCCTGCGGGCCCTGATCAAAGCTCCATTTGAGCCTCTGGATCAGGTTCCAATTAAATTCTTGTCTCTTAAAACAGCCCTGCTGCTGGCTTTAACATCCGCTAAGAGGGTGAGGGATTTATCTGCCCTCTCTGTCGCTCCGTCATGTCTTAGAATTCAGGCTGACGGCAGCTAAGTTGATTTAAGACCAAACCCAGCTTTTATGCCTAAAAACATCACGAGTTCTTTTAAATCAAGAGTGATATCGTTGGAGGGGTCTGGCATCAAAAGCAACGGGACACATGCATTTCTTCAAGGAACGCTAGTCCTTTAAATATAAAATAAGCTCATTCTGCTTGTTTGATTGACAGGCAGTTCAAGCAACATGTAGAGTGATCAAAGACTGCAAATTTAAAATGCTTTTTAAAAGGACATAAAGGTTAGACTCTTCGCCAAAAGCCTGGACCGAAGCATCCTGACGTGCTCTGAATTCAGAGCTGTCTCACTCATGAATGCAGGAAAACATTTTAAAACTCTGCCAGTTAAATATTTACGCCTCATACCTCTCTCAAACAGATCCTGTAGTCTTCTAGGTTGAAGCCTTTTATCTTCTTTCTGCTGAGTCAGAAGAGTCAGAATTAAGATCAAAAACACAAAGCAGCTAAACAGCAGCTGATTCTGTAAGTTGTTCTTTTCATCTTCCCTCTCATAGAACAATAAATCACTGAATGAGTTAGTGTGTTTTAAAACTTGCATTATCACAGATCAGATGGTTTATGCATGAAAACCTGTCAAAGTTTTGCGGTTTAGATGATCCAAACAGACCCACTTCTAAATCAGATCACTGAAGTCTTGCAACAACTCCAACCTTCATTATTTCATTTCACAGTATCTCATGTCAAAGTGGTCATTTAAGTCTGTGTTATGCTGTCAACGTTACACGCTTTTTTTGAAACAACTATTACAAGATTCATACCAGAGGAGACTCAGGCTGCACTGGAAGTTTTACCTCTCACTGCTGCTGACAACCAACCATAAAACTTTAAATAAATAAAAATATAAGGTGAAAGTAAAGGCTGTGCATGAGTTTATAAAATATTCCCACAAACTGCTACCAAACTTTAGAAAATTTGAGTTTTTTTTGAGACAGTAGCATTCTACTTTGGTAAATGGACTGTACTTATATAGCACCTTTCTATCTTATGAAGACTCAAAGCTCTTTACACTACAATCTGTGTCCTCATTTACCCATTCATACAGCACTCTACTAGATCTCTACAAAACTAATTGAACAAATCATTCTAAAGAGACTAATCAGAGCTTTAGATCACATTCATACACCGATGGGACACACAATGGAGGCAATGAGGGGTTCAGTGTCTTGCCCAGGGACACTTCAGCATGTGACTGCTGGTGGAATCGAACCCCCACCTCTTGCATTGGAGGACGACTGCTCTAACCACTCAGCCACAGCCGCCCTTGGTCTTAGGTGAGTTCAGACTAGCAGGTAGCATCTCAGTCCAGTCAGAATTAAACTTTATTTTATAACAGAAGCGTTTCAAAAAGCCATCTACAACAGGTGAGATATTATCTGTTCATTTCCATAGCACCCCACTTCAAAGTATCTTAACTATCCCTTTAATCTTCACTTGTTATTTTTCAAAGATTATTTATTTTCTTCTAAAGCTTAAATCCTAACATTAAAAGAGGCTGTATTTAATTCACTTTAAATTTCTCCAGCTTATCGTTTCTACCTGCTGGTTGTTGAACTTGATGTCGCTGGATCCTTTCTTGACACAAGGAGAGTCCTGGACTTTCTTCCCACTGCCTTTCAAAACAGATTTCTGCAAAAGGAAATTAACAAAACATACGATTTGACCAAAGTGGTATTAAGAATTTGACCGATTTTGATTTTTACTTTTACAATTTAGCTGAACACTATCTGGAGGAGCCCAGAAAAGTTGTTGTGAAGTCCCTGGTTTTCAAGCTACAGAGTTTAACAGGAAGTTTAAACAACCTGCGTTCAGTGACGTGAACATTATTAATTATTCAGACAGATTTCATCCAGCTCTGAAGTGGAATGAAAGCTGCCTAATGCCATAATTCACTGTTGCTCTAAGTTTTGTCCAAAACAAAGCAGCTCTGATTATTTGAATCCTGAACTGAAGTAAAAATAATTGTCTGGTGGCACGTCCTCTCCAACGTGCACTCTCGCAGCACAGCAGCCACCAGAGCTGGGCTCACCAGGAAAATAAGTCTTTAAGGTTGAGTCAGGTCCTCTGGATGGATTTTTCTTAGGTGCACTGTTTCATCTTTTGTCCAAAAGATAATATCTTTGATCTTCAAGATATTGTCCTGCTGGTTCCATCTTTAAATAAATATGTTCTTTTTAACCGTAGCTGTATAAA